ACCAACCCGTTGGACTATTGTATCTGGAGTATCGATCACCTCAAGCAAGCGCTTCGCCGGGAATGGGCCAAAATACCGCAAAGCAACATTCCGGCAACGTGTGACGGTATCATTGGCCGTTTGAAGGCCATAATTCGTGCCAAAAGTTGACCTATTGGAAAAAATCTAAACTTATTCTAAATTTTTATGATATTTCCGACATTTTTTGCTTTCATTCAATAAAATTAAAAAAAATGTAAAAATTATGGCGTTTTTAGTTTGTTGCAGGTTTTTTTCTCACCCTGTATATATACTTTTTGGGGTCTACAACGAATATTTAGGGAATGACAAAGTTAATATACCCTCCTTTCCAGGGTAGAGGGTATAAAAAAAGCTAGGCAATTTTTTGAAATCTCGCATTTTGTGTTTTACTTCTATTTTTGACTCTCACTCTTATTTTTCAAACAGGAGTACTCGCGAGCGCTCCTCCATAAAACAAAAGAGTTCAGAGTAAACTTCATGTAAAATTTGTACTCGTCAAACATTCTCACTCGCGAATAAAATCGAGAAAAATTGAGCTCTACTTATAAGAGTCGAATGGATAAGTATGTATGCTCTAAGAGATTTTACATATGGAGTGACCAAATTACTTTAATCTCGCCAAGCATAAGTTGACAAATACATCTTTTTTAATCCGAATAAAATTCTCACAGCTCTCTGATACTCTCATACTCCCGTTAATTCTTTCGCCTTACAGCTTATAAAAATTCCTCTACGCATTCAGTGTGAATGTAATGAAAAGGAACTCTCAAAATTCCCCATTTACAACTCCATTGGTCCTGCAAAAAGAAAACTATTCTTTATTATTCTCTACCAAACTAAGTTTTATTGCACAAGTTGCACATAAATTAGTTGCTGTACACACTTACTCGCACATAGTCTGGCCGGACCCTATCAGTAAAATTTATTTTCCTAAAAAATGTTGTTAGTGTGTGTGTGTGTGTGAAACAGCCACGACCACCAACAAAAAGAGCAACAACAATAATAATGCCATAAAAATATTACATATTTTTGGAAATAGCATAGTAGGTAGCAAAAAAAAAAAAAAAAAACAACACAGTGCAGGAAGAAAATGGTAAAAAGAGGAGGAACAAGGATTTTACAAAACTAACCACCACTAAAGTTACTCATATATGTGTGTGCACGTGTGTTGGGTATATCCTCTTTTGGTTACTTGTGTTCTGTGGCGTTCCTGCGAAATAAAAACTATTTAAATGTTAATAGGTTTAATGTTGGTTGTTGTAGTTGTGGCTTGAATGTAGTGTGTACAGTAGAAGATAGACAAAAATGTTATCAGTATCTACAGATAGTTAGGATATGTGTATGTATGTACACGTGAAAAAATGTCAAAATGTAGAACACTAAGGTCTTGTAGTGTATGTGTTTCTGTTTGTATTTGGGTTTTGCTCACCAACCAACAAACCAAGTATCTTTAAGTATTTTTGGAGTAACCAAGGAAGCATTAGTGAGTGTATGTGCGATGGCATTGGAGGAGATCTTTGTCGGCCAAACCAAAGAACTTTTGACATCTACAATATATCATAGTTATGAAACAGTCATTAATTATATAAGAAAATACTTTTTTTTTGTCTTGACTTTTGGTTTTGCTACACATAAATATATGTATGTGTATGTGGTCTGGTGGTGTTCGTCATCGTCTTCCCGTGGTATATTTTATTGTGTTTTTTTCTTGAGGTAAAGAAAACAAGAGCATTATAACTTATTTTACTTGTTTTTATATTCAACATTTGTCCAGCATAATTGGACGAAACTTATTTCCAAGTACCACAGACTTCTTGTTCTCATTTAACCACGCGATGTCCTCCAAAAAAAAAAAAAAAAAAAAACATATAAATTTTGTTTATTATATTTTGTTGTTTTCATAAAAGATTAAATTTTTTTATAATTTTGCAAAAAAGAAGCCATTTTTCTAATTTTATTATTTTGGGTATTTGTAGTATCCCAAGAGAATACGACGGAAGTCTTGAGAAAATAAATAAGAAACGAGTAAATGTCAGGCGGTGCAATAATCAAATTTAATTAACAGAGCGAGCTATAATTTTGTGAATATGAATTTCAAAATGTTTCCTAACTTAGACCTTGCTGCGGATGTGATATCAATTCAGATTAAGATACCCAGCAATAATTTTATGGCTTAAAAGTAATTAACTTCTAAGTTCAATGCACACCAGCCGGTCTGGCAGGCAGACCGTCATGGCTCCTATCAAGTCCTAATGTCCTGAATTTCGTTCTAAGACACCTGTAGGCCAATCGAGTGAAAAGTTACTAAAATTTCTTTGTTATCGAAACAAAACAAACAAATGATTTTTTTTAAATAAGCAATGAGTAAAGTTGTTAAAAAGATTCGAAAAAGGCCTACTGAGGCATAAAGCTATTTCCATATTTTCGATTTCTACTAAAATTGCCGAGGCATTTGTTCATTTTGAATTCTTGTATTACCCATTTGGTGCATAATTAACTTGAAATCGGATAAAGATATATATGGGAGCTCTTTAAATCTGAACCGATCTCTACAAAAGTTTAGCAAAAGGTATCTCTGAGATGATTTCATATATATTTCCCCAAACATCGTTGCTACAGAAGACATATTACGGCTGCTGAGGACAAAAATAAAAAATCGGATGAACGGTATATATGGGAGCTATAGCTATATTTGAACCGATTTCGATCAAATTTGGAATATTTATTTTCAGGCTTAATTTGGTCGTATGTGCAAAATTCCATACTATTCGGACTGATATTATACGTTTGCTGCACAATAAAAGGCAAATCGGAAGAAGATTCAGGGTTGCCCATATTCGACGGACCCATGACTCTTTGGGCCCATTCCAATCGACGAGGCTTGTCCGCAGGCAACATTCTTTGCGTCAATTGAATTTTGTACGGGAACAAATGCAAATCAATACGAATAATCCGTTGTAAAGTGGACCGAGCCATGCCCAACTGCTGAGAACGGTGTTTTTGGAATGTTCTTGGGGACCTCTCAACACTGGCTCGTACGGCAGCGATATTCTCGGCCGATCGCCTTGGTCGACTTTTATATGGCCTCTTCGGATTAGAAAGAGCCTTACCAGTCGAAAATTGTTCGTATAAACGCTTAATGGTGTTCTTAGAAGGCGCATTTCTCACATTTTTTAATGTTTGAAAAGCACGTTGAGTTTTCACAATTGACTTCTTCTGTTGAATGTAAATTTCAACTATTTCAGAGCGCTCGCGTGGCGTGTATTGGTTCATGGTAAAAATCTGCTTGGTCTGACGCTTCAAACGCGGCATGTCATTAAGCGATGTGACATCTCTGTCAAAAGTTATGGCGTTGCCAGATGGGTCCGTCGAATATGAACAACCCTGTATATACGGGAGCTATATTCAAATCTGAACCGATCTCGGCAAAAATTTAACAAATATATTTCTGAGCAGTACCCCATCATAGTGGTTACAGAAGGCATATTACGGCTGCGGAGGTTCACAGATAGATATCATCTTCACAGCAGATCTTGTGTTGGCAAAAATGTTTGTTGGTATGAAATTTAATGCTCGAGTTTTTTGAGCCTTTTGTTTATCGAAATCTTGAACCCAACATAGGGAGGCACCAGAAGGAATGGTCCAGAATGGAGTTACCAGAAAAAGTGGACCGATACATTCCATATTCACAGCAGATCGTGTGTTAATAGAAATGGGTTGTGTGAAACATGAAAACAACCGGATGTTTATTTCGGATTTCAAGATCGTTTTGGTTATTCAAAACTTTGACCCTTTGAGGGGGCGGGGGTACCAGAAGGAATGGTCCGATTTCTACCATCTTAATAACAAATCGTTTGTTGATAGAAATATTGAGATGTACCAAGTGAGCATGGAATCGAATGTTAATTTCTCGTTTTATGAGCTTCGTGGATATTCCAAAATGTTGACCCTTTGTGGGGGAGGTACCAGAAGGAGTAGAACGATATATTCCATCTTCACACCAAATATTGGGTAAATAAAAATATTGTGATGTGTGTAATTTGAAGATAATCGGACTTTTATAATATTATATAATTTTTCAAATTTTTGACCCTTTGTGGGGGAGGTACTTGATGTAGTAGACCGATATTGTCCATTTTCGCACCTGACGTAGCACTGATGCAAATATTAGCATTTACAAAGTTGGAGCAAAATCGGAGTATTTTTTCGGTGCAGTAAAATAGTTTTTATTATTTTTTTTTTTTTTTTTTTTAATTTCGACCTTTTGTGGGAAGGTAACAGAAGGAGTGGACCGATATTGCCCATCTCCGAACTCGATCTAAGTTTGACAATAAAATTACGATGCACGAGTTTTGGACCAAATCGGATAGTCCCTTCGAGGGTTATTGTTCGCACCAGCCAGACAGACAGACGGACGGACAGACATTGCCAGATCGACTCCAAATGCGCTGAAATGGATTTGGTACAAAAAACCTGGAGTCTAACCCGTTATTTCAATGAGGCACATTTCGCCGTATCAAAGATATATAACTTTTCTAGCCATATGGCTGAGGGTATAAAAATGGAAAATGATGTGGGGCATCCTATAGTCTGACCCGTTATACTTTTGTCATTTCCTTAATCGGCTTTCAACTGAAACAGTGGTCCCATCTCACATCCCCCAGTATCACCCTCTCCACCACTCTCAGTATCAACCTCTTCAAAACTAGTAGCGAGAGAAAAGAGAAAATTATCTGCTCCTCATCAAAATTCTTTGTCATCTTTTGAAAGGAATAAAATTGCATTTTAATTATGTTATTTGAACCTTAAGTATTGAGTGCCAAAAGTGGCTCGCTACTTTCTTTGCCAGTCATAAAAGTACAACTCAATTATCTTTGGCCGGTCGTAAAAAAGTAAAGAAAAGAAACAAAGAAACGTACAGAAAAAAAAAAAACAAAGTGGTGACACAAAGAACAACTATCATGGCATGTTCGACTTACCTTTAACTTGGGGTAATAACGTTGTAATGGAGCATAATAACAGCAGTAAATAGCCGAAGTTGTAAACAACACGCTGCAATGACATTCTTCGGCGTGTATAAAACAAATGACTCCAAAGACTTCGATGATGCAGATGCTGATTGTGGTGCTGATGATGCTGACGTTGCTGGGGCAGATAATGGCTAGTGATATCCTTGTGAGCTATTTGTGGAAACTGTCGTCCACAGCTCGTTGTACAGCAACTACTGGACATTATTTGTGTCATATTTCTTTCGGATTGATGTGGATGTGTTGGTGTTTGTTTTACAACGGGGGGAATTTGTTACCACATTTCACACGGCAAGGATGAATACAATTCATAAAGTTTGTTTGTTTGTTTTTTTTTACACTTTAATGGGAATTTTGTGTTGTTTTTGTTCTTAAGATATGATGTGTTGTTCTTTTGTTTGATAACTTTGTTCTGATATTGCAATTTCACAGAAATGCAATGGCAACCGACGACGAGCGACTTTCCACTTTTACTAACCGAAACGAAATTGCATTTTTTACTATTGTTGGTGTTGTTTTTTATGTCCTCTTTTTTTACAGTCCTTGTGCTTTGTTTCACAGAGTGATGTCAGTTTTGCACTCAATTCATATCAAACATTTATAAACCCGTATACAAGAAAATGAAGTATGCTATAGTATATTTTAAAGTCTGGCAGTGTTGCTGTTGTTGCTGTTGTTTTCTTTCCAAGAACAAGTTTCGAATGTGTCCCAAGGAATTTTAGTTTTATCGTTTCGGAGCGACGGAAGCGGAAACTATAACGTGGTTGTTGTTCTTGTTGAGTGTCAAGTACAATGTCTTGAAAAATGCTGTGCTGCTGCAGTTGGTGTTGGTGTTGCTGTTATTGGGGTAATGTAACCTTCAACTTGATCCTTAACATTTCACAAAAAGAAAGGAGGAATTGCAGTCTGCAACCAATGTCGTTTCAATTCTGTCCAACTTGAAAATACGTAGGACAGACGAAGAATGAGGACAACGTCTGCGACACCGCGATTACGAGCGAGTTGTTTGGGATACACGCGACACCGACAAACGGGAACACTTAAATGTGTTAAATATACCACGAGAGCGAGAGCGTAGACGGACGTGTTTTGAGTATCCTGTACACAGTTTGGGCGTGTGTTTTGCCCCCAAAAAATGGAAGTCTTAAATTTTTGCAATTCGCCTGGCCCTCTGCCGTCCTTGTTATATCCCCGCAAAGGACATGCAACACACAACAACTTAAAGTGAAGTTCTTTTTATGAGCGTCTTGTAATGTTCAGCAGCAATTTATCACTTGGGTATTTTTTATTGTTCCTTCTACTTCTTGCCCAGCATTACTCCCGGAAACTAGAGTTGGCATTTAGGTGTTCCACAAGGAGTTCTCTTGCAATAGGAACAAATAACTGCTAGTTTTTCCCTCTTTTCTTTCTTTCCTCTCACTCCGATTTGATGATGTTATGAGCTTAGTACACTAATATTGTTCTATTTGTAGAAAGATGTGTTTTTTCTTTGTTTTCAACTCTGCTGCTTGTATTATTTACAACCCAAAAATACGTTTAAGTGTTTGTTGGATTTTTGCAAAGCAATAAAAAATTGTCACGTTGATAATGCGTTGAGTATGTTTTCCAGAGAGTCGTTTTCGTATGTATTTTTGTTGTTTTGGGTTTTTCAGGAACGTGTTCAAATTTGGTAGTACTTAAAAGTTCTCCTGTTTTGGGTGATTCTGAAAGAGACAAAAAAGAAAAAATAATGTTACTAAAATATGAATTTTGCTTGCATTTAAATTGTATTTAAAAAACCGATGAAATGGTAGTATATTGAAAATACTGCGACGGAACACGTTTTATGGAATTGAAACTTTTTTTCTGAAAAAAAGAGAAATATTTTCTTTATTCAAATATTAATTTTTATAGTGAAATACAATTTTTGAAAGGTTTATATCATAATTGGTCTATTTCTATGAAGTTATTTCAAGAAAAATATTTTCCTTATAAAAATTTTCAGTTTGCATTTGAATAAAAAATTAATTGAACCCTTCTCAAAAAATAAAATCCTTTAAAAATTCTGTTAAAAAAATTAAAATACCGAATGTAGGTATTATATTAAGGTCTATACGACGACGTGGACCTGCATAGGAAACTTTTGTCACAAGCCATTTCAATATTCAAATGCGAAACTAGGGAAAAAATCGGTGAATAATTTAGCTAAAATCATCAAAATACCGAATATAGGGAGGTATTGTTATGTGGGGGGCTATACCAAAACGTGAACCTGCACAGGCTGTAGTATCTATTACGAACTTCAAATACCAAATTTGAAACAATTCCAGTGAGAATTATCGGAAAAATCATAAATATACGGAATATCGGGAGGTTATATGGGAGCTACATCAAAACGTGGACATACATGGCCCATTTTCAATACATGCAGACATAATATACATTTGAGTAAAATTTTATCAACCTACTTCTTTTCCTTCGAAAGCTAGAGTGATTTCCACAGGCGGACAAACCGACGGACATCGTTAAATCGGCATATAATTTTGGTATCTACCCTATAATGGTTCAACATTATGAATAATCATAACGCAGGTCAAAATGTATTAGAAATGAACGGAGAGAAACTTTTGAACTTGACAAACCTGAGATTTCAAAGCTCTCTATAATATTGTAAAGCTTTATATTAAATGTTGCGATATATATTCCAAGAAATTGTGGTCAAAAGACCTTAAGAAACTTTTTTGGAGGTTTAATTTACTAACCGAATACAACAAACCTAAAAGGCGAGGTTTCCAATGAATCTTAATTCGTTATTTATAATAAATGTTGCGATCTGAACATTTAAAACGCACGTGCCTTCTTTGTTCAACTATACTTCTATTATGCTGGAAAAGTTTAAGGAATAAATTTTTTGAGACCAAAATATCAATTTATTTAACATTTTATTTTTCTGGTTGTTCGAAAGTTTTTTTTTTTTGTATTCACATGCTTCTGTAATAGGAAGTGTCTGTACGTACATATTCTCACATGAACTATTGTTCCAAAATGCATTTTGTCTAGTCTTTACCATTTCGTGATTTTGGCAAATTGAAATATCGGGGTGTTGATCATATTCTCGAAAATGAATAAAAACTAATTTTAAATCAATATTTTCCCAACGTTTTGTCAACTTGTGTCCGTCATCTGCATTGATTTAAATTTATTTAATTCAATCGATTTGATTTTCAATTATTATTTTTTATATATAATCAATTATGCCATCGTAAATCCAAGTATGTAAATGGGCTATAAGAATTATCTAAATGGATAGTTTTGCTTCGTTAATTCAAAAGTGTCTACCTGGTATTCAAATGTTATCCATTTCTGGTATCAGTTCTTTCCAAGTGCGTTATTCACTAAGCAGCGTTTGCTACCTAGCCGAGAATTTAAGTATTGCATCATTTTGTGCAGGAAAGAGATACCGTCGTGTGTAAACTCCACACCATAAGAAGTAATTTCACCTATTTGTAATATTTTTAAGTAATCTCACTTTTTATTGTTTTGAAAAAAAAAAAAATATTTTCTAATTTTTATTTATTTATAGAAATCATGACGATTTGTGGGATGTCACTATTCCGTGGCAAAGATGCAATGCCCATGTGACACTCAATGCCTTTTTCTCTCTCACTTCTTTTATTTTTTTCCTCTTCAGAATTTGGCAACGGTATTTTTGTACTACTTAACATGAAATTTGTAAACACTACAAGGTTTTAAAACTATTTCACTTTTAAGAATTTAATAATTATTTATTTCTTTTTCTTCATGTCGGCCAACAAACTTTCGTTGGTACTACTTCACTCGCAACACATTTGGCCCTCTGTGTGACGGCTTTCACTTGCATTCAACGGTACACCCAATTTTTTATTTAATATTTAATGGGCATATTAAATATAAACAATCACACTTCTCCCATTCAATTTAATAATTTAATGCATTTTATTACCTTTTAGTAAACGAATGCATTTAATTGAGAAATTTCCCGGCAAATAAAACGCATAACTTTCTCACTCTCTAGCCCATGTGCTTCATTTGATTTCACTTATTCTTACAACAGCCTACTTTGCTGTTGTGCGTCAAATTTATTATTTAAATTAAATTATTTATTTAAACTAAACCGAATTGTTGTATATTTTTAATCAATTTTAATAAATAACGCTAAAAACTAAACACCGAATCTCCGTCGCATGCAACCAATGCACCAAACAAACAGATGTCAACTAGCGGAGAAAGGGAAAGAGAGAGAGAGAAAACAAACACAACACAGCTGCATTTCTTTTTGGCACCACCTTGGATAGGGTGAGCCAGAGAGGTGCATTATTGTGCTCTTCTCTGATCGTTGTTGCTGTTTGTCTCAGAAGAGAGAGAGGGAGTTGTGTTCATTGAGATCATGTGTGAGAGTATTTGACAAAGTGCGTGGGTTTCATTGCGTTGCCTACATTAAGGGAACCTTAGACTATGTGATTTACTGATGTCACAGAAACGACTGAAATAATGAGGCAAATGAAAGAAAATTAAATGATTTTTTCCTTTTATGTTGTCTCCATCTATCATACTATCATTTTTATATTTATTTATAATATTTATTTATCATGGAGCATAATTTTAATGAATATGTACATCCGTATGCATGCATATTGCCATTTTTAAACTGTAAATACCATACCATGACATGTCACAAACACCAACAACAACTGTCTATCTCGCCAACTGAAAATGACATTAATTTGTTATGAAAATAATATCATTTGGATTGATAAAGGATAACAGCGGCAAAAAACACATTTGCTCTCACAAAAACTCCATTATTATTGGTTATGAGTATAAAAATTGCCATATAGCCAGAACCCTTCCAAAGAAATAACGTTGGATATGGACCATTATTCAGTTTATTTGTTTATACAGCAAATGAATATGAATTTAATGGTATCCGCAAATAAACACAATTTTTAACAGTTGGATACATTTTTGTGTTTATCTCCAAACGAAGCACAGAAAAAAAGGAATTGGAATTCGTTATGCAAATTAAGGCTGTGTAAATAAAGTTATGTCGATGAAACAAAAAAAAAAAAACTATTTTCAATTTCTTTTAAATTAAATTACTTAAATAGTGAATTTCTGTTGTTGTTGTTGTGTAAAATTGTTTATTTTGGTTTTCCCTTTTGCATTATGGGTCAGTCCCCAAATCCCAGTGTTATTCTTTATTTCATGCATCATATGCATTTTTAATGTATTATTTTCTAAAAATAACAAATAACCAGTCAGCATGGCTGCATGCCAGCAATGCAAAGGAAACGGTTGTACAAAAAATGTTTATTATTAATAATAATAACAATATTTGCTTAACCTCAATATTTTTTGTGGCCTTCCATTAACTACGTTGGGAAATTATCGTCACACACACACAGAACATATGTTTGGGAGTACACTCACTCACTCATCTGATGATGAGTTGATTGTCCTTTGTTATCCTTTGTTCGCCATAGTATAGAGAATACCAAAAAAACAACAAATGAAAACAGTTTCCCTTTCCAAGCATGGTGACCTAGTTTATTTTTAGTCGGTCTGTGTATGTATGACAATTTTTTCTTCTCTATTTATCCTTCATATTCTTGCTTCTTGACAAAAAAAAGTAATAATAGAAATAAATCTTAACTATTTGTCACTTTCAAAATGTATTATAAGGATATTGCTTTTCTTAGTGGGTCATATCTGTTGTTTTTGGGAATAACATCACATGTTTTATGAGATTTAGAAAAAAAGAAGAAAACTGCAGGTTATTTTTGGGATAATTAATGATGATAAGGTGTATAGCCTTTGGGATTAAAAACACACTGTGACATTTATAAGAATAATATTGAATGGGTCATCGTGAATGATTTATGGAAAAAACTCTTTGGACGAACTGTAATTAATAGTTATGGAATTCCTTTGAAGGACATCATTTAATATATGAAGATATCAATGAATTCACTCGTATTTTAGAACTAAGGCAAAGACAGCATGTGGTAAATATAGACATGGGCTTTTCTCCTTAATGACATAGAAGGGGATGGGCATCATTACTGCCAACGGTTTCAAATATACAGGGTAGGATGAAAAAACTGCAACCAACTACAGACTGCTGTTAATTCTAAGCCACTTGTCCGACATCTGTTAAAATTATTCCAGTGACAGCTCATTATATTGTTTACAAGCGTACAACAGCATTTTAGTGAGAATTTTCAAGAAAAAAAGTTATAATGGAATTCTAGCGTGATAGTGTGATTTCTTAATATTTGCCTTAAAAGCCACAAGTAGCTATCGTTAGAGCACTCCAACATTTAAATGTGAATAAATCTTTTGTGTCTCGTACCATCGCTCGTTACCGTGATACTGGTAGCGTAGCCCAACGTCAAGGAAGTGAACGGAAGAAAACAGCAACATCAGCAGAAATCGTTCGAAAAGTAAAGATGCGAATTGATCGAAACCCGCGTCGCAGTGGCAGAAAAAATGGCTCGCTAGCTGAACATATCGCAATATTCCATTCGGAAAATATTGAAAAACGAGCTCGGGGTAAAGCCATTCAATTTACACTGCAACAGAAAGAAAATAGACACCAAAAGAGCTAAAGAGTTGCTTCGCTTGGCCGTAAGTGGTGAACTGCCGAATTTGGCTTTCTCTCTCCGATGAGAAAATATTCGTTGTT